TCTACTTAACTCGAGCTGTAGGGCAGCTACAGTGCTGGTAAGCACACCTATCGCACTCAGAATCATCAGGCGCGTTCGCCTGTTGAATCCATAGGTCTGAACTCGGTCTGCTAGCCGAGCTAGGTCCGCAAACCTATTCGTACTATTCGACTCAACTTGATACGCGTGGTGGGTATTTTGTACTTAACTCGAGCTGTAGGGCAGCTAGAGTGCTGGTAAGCACACCTATCGCACTCAGCACCATCAGGGCGAGGTCTGAACTCGGTCTGTTAATCGAGCTAGGTTCGCAAATCTATTCGTATTATTCGAGTCATCTTGACAATCGCTCTCGGTATTCTCTGTACTTAACTCGAGCTGTAGGCAGCTACAGAGCCTAGAGTCGTAGAAATCGATTGAGAATTATCGGGCGCGTTTGTCTGTTGTATCGAGAGCTCTGAACTCGGCCTGCTGCCCGAGCTAGGTTCGCGAAACTATTCGTATTGTCCGAATCATCGTGAAACGTGCTCTCAATTTTCTGCACTCAACTCGTGCTCGGGGAGCGCTACAGTGCTGCGGGTCATAGAAATCGATTTGCACACGTCAGGCGCGTTCGTTGGTCGATTCGAGAGCTCAGACTTGGTCTGCTGCTCGAAACAGGTCTGCGAAACTATTATATTATTCGAGTCATCCTGAGAGATGCTGTCGGTTTTCTGCACTTAACTCGGGCTGTAGGGGGGCTGCAGTGCTGGTAATCACATGAGTCGATTCGCAGACATCAGACGCGTCCGCCTGTCGCATTCAGAGGTCTGAACTCGGTCTGATCAGACGCGTCCGCTTGTCGCATTCAGAGGGCAAAAAATATTCACTATGAGTCAGAATGTTGGTAGGTGCTCTCGGTTTTCTCAACTTAAGTTGAGCTTGGAAGCTCTACGAGTTCCCCGGCGGTAACCAAGGTTGACGGTTTACCGCCGGCGCCCAGTTTCGAGCGCCTAATGCTATCCGGGTTTTGGACATAGCAAGTGGACGCTTACATGGACGCTTAGAAGTTGCAATCGCTTCAGCGGGGGGCGACCCCAAAGGCGAAACCCAAAGCCGCGGGCGAATCTAACTGCCGTGCGCGTTGCCGTCAGCGAGCAGCCGGACGGCGCAATAACTCGCTCGAGGCCCGCGGGAAACCATGGGATTGCCGCGCCAGCGCCTTCGCAGTGCTGCTTTCGAATGCCGAAGGGAAATGCCGGACCCCTGTGGAACTGCTGCGCCAGCGGCAGCCCACCGGCGAAGCTTCGCGCCGAAAGTGCAAACGGCTGCCTCATCGACGAGGCGACCTGACGCGCCAGCGCCATGCACCTTGCGCGCGTGCTCGCATCGGCGCGCATTCCTACGACCGCGGCCGCACGCGCGCATCCCAGCATTTACAGCCCAGTGTCACAACCCAGTGCCGAAGGCAAAGGCGGCAACGCATGGACATGCTGCGCCAGCGGCAGCCCAACGGCGAAGCTCAACGCCGAAATCGCCAAAGGCTGCCTCTTCAACGGGGCGACGCGCCGACGCGCCTGCGTCACTCGCCCTGTGTGCATGCTTCAGTGGATGCGCAGTGCCACGGCCGCGTCGGCGATCGCCTGCGCGCGCCACTTCGACAGCCCCCCGTGATAGGGGGGTTGGGGGAGAAACCCTAAACCCTAAAAGGCTTCACTCTGGGTGGTCTGGGGCGGGAATGCGACTAATCGTGGCGCGCGCGGCCTGGGCAGCGATCCCCCCCAACAACTTTGATGTGGGAGGGATCGCAGCCAGCGCGCGCTTGCGCCTATGCAGGCCCTAAACCCTAAACCCTAAACCCTAAACTCTAAACTCTAAACCCTAAACCCTAATAGCTAAACCTTAAACCCTAAACCCTAAACCCGAAACCCTAAACTCTAAACCCTAAACCCTAAACCCTAACTCTAAACCCTAAACCCTAACCATAAACCCTAAACCTTAATCCTAATGGGGAAATTGTCAGGCGGTTTGCCTGTTTGGGTGCCCATCATCATTGTCTTTCGCAACAAAGGGGTCGCGGCCACATAAGGGGATGTCTCAGGCGGTTTGCCCGTTTGGATGCCCAACGCCCTTCTCTGTCGGAGCAGTTTCCGAGGATGTCTCAGGCGAGGTCCTGGTTTCAGTGCTTCAAGGGAAGGGAGGCTTCGCGCCCAGATTGGAATGGTGTCTCAGGCGGTTTGCCTGTTTGGGTGCCCAATATCTTTCTCTGTCGGAGAAGTTTCAGAGGATGTCTCATACGAGGCGCTGGTTTCAGCATTCCCAAGGGGGGGCGCCAGGGGGTATATCACAGGCCCGTTCGCGCCCAGATTGGGGTGGTGTCTCAGGCGGTTTGCTGGTTTAGGTTCTTAATATCCTTCTCCTCCGGAGCAGTTTCCGAGGATGTCTCAGGCGAGGCGCTGGTTTCAGCACTCCCACGGGTGCGCCAAGGGGGTATTGCACGGGCACGTTTGCGTCTTCACTTCCCTGACAGGTGTTCGTAGGGAAAGGATGAGAAAAAGAAAAGGAGGACAAGTTGGAGCAGGAGGAGGAGGACGGAAGGAGGAGAGAATTGTTTAAAGTCGTCGTAGTCGTCGGCGTCTTCCTCGGCCTTGTTTTCCACGTGGATTCGCTGACATTGGATATTGAAAAGGACAATGTCGTCTACCGAAGCTTGCCATGCCATCGCTATGAGATCTACATCTGGGGATGTCCGCGTCGAGCAATTATTTAGATCGCGTGGAACGCGAGAGACAGAGAGAGAGAGAAAGAGAACACACCTCCCACCCTCAACACCTTCCACCCTCAGGTCATCATTCTCTGACTCACTCACATGTAGACTCATTTATAGTCAGACTCACTCACTCACTCATACTCATATGCACTAGCTCTCAGATTCTTGATGCTCAGGTTTCGCATGATCGGGATCACTCATTTGCAGACTCGCTCACGCTCCTGGTATGTCAGCGCTCAGATTCACACGCACACGTCGTGAGGATGTCTCAGGCGAGGCGCTGGTCTAGTACTCTCAAGGGGAGCCGCCAGGGGGTATTGTATTCCTCCGTCTCGAGCGATTTGCCTGTTTTGGCGTCCGAAATCTTCGCTTTCGGAGCAGATTTGGAGGATGTCTCGAATGAGGCGCTCATTTTCGCTTCCAAGGGGGAGCCGCCAGGGGGTATTACACTCCTCCGTTCGCGCCACAATGGCAGGGATGTCTCGAGCGGTTTGCATGTTTTGGTGCCCGGCGTCCTCGGCTTTCGGAGCAGATTTGGAGGATGTCTCGAGCGAGGCGTTCATTTTCGCTTCCAAGGGGGAGCCGCCAGGGGATATTGCAGTCTTCCGTTCGTGCCAAAGTGGCGGGGGTGTCTCGAGCGGCTTGCCTGTTTTGGTGCCCGACATCCTCCGCTTTCGGAACAGACTTGGACGATTCTCGAGCGAGGCTCTCGTTTTCGCTTCCAAGGGGGAGCCGCCGGGGGGTAGTGCATTTTTCCGCACGCGCCAAAATGGCGGGGATGTCTCCAGCGGTTTGCCTGTTTCGGTGCCCGACATCTTCCGCTTTTGGAGCAGTTTCCGAGGATGTCTCAGGCGAGGCGTTGGTTTCAGTATTCCCAAGGGGGGGCGCCAGGGGGTATATCACAGGCCCGTTCGCGCTGAAATTTGGGGAATATCTCAGGCGGTTTGCCTGTTTGGGTGCTCAACATCATTCTTTTTGGGTGCAGTTTCCGAGGATGTCTCAGGCGAGGCGCTGGTTTCAGCACTCCCAAGGGGGGACGCCAGGGGGTATTGCACGGGTCCGTTTTCATTTTTTCACGGATGGATTTTCTTGGCGGGTGTTCATCGGGAAAGGAGGAGAAACTGGAAGAGGACAAAGAGGAGGAGGAGGACGAAAGGAGGAAGCAACTACGTGAAGTCGTCGTAGTCGTCGGCGTGTCCCTCGGACTCCTTTTCCACGTGGATTCGCTGACACCCGGATATTGAAAAGGACAATGTCTTCCACCGAAGTTTGTCATGACTATGAGGTGGACATTTGGGGATGTCCGCGTCGAGTAATTGTCCCTGGGGGCCCTCTCGGGGGCCTTCTTGAGGGCCTCTGGAGCCGTCGTGAGGTTTTTTTTTGACCGTCTGGAGGCCATCTGAGGCTCGCTTGGGGCCGTCCTGGTGCCCTCCGTTTGGGGGCCCTCTCGGGCCGTCTTGGGGCCCTTGAGCCGCTTCATTCGAACAAATATGAGGAAACGGGCCGTGGAGGGCGCCCACGTGCCGCTTCACTCGAAACAAATACAAGTGACACGGCCCCCCAGCGGCCATTAGACGCATGCGTCCGGCCTTCGCCCCTCCCCTGGAACCCCTCCCTAGACGGCTTCGCCCCACGCTAGAACGTCATCACTCGTGCCTCGCTCTTTCCGCTATCCCGGGTCGAGGGTTCACAGCCCAGCCCCCCCTAGATGCGATGTGTCCCAGGGTTCCACAGGCCTCCACCTTTAGATGGAATGGGGGGAACGACGACGCCGCCGTCGTCGACGACGACGACGACGAACCGCTCCACATACACAGGCAGGGGGAGGGGGGGGGCGATCCCATTCGCGAGGCTTTCGCGAGGCTCACGGGCGTGCCCATCCAGCTGGGGATGGGGGCCGATCCCAGTATCTTTGGGGGGGGTGGGGGGCGGAGCCCTGGCCCAGCAGCCCTTCAACCTTTGAAGGGGTGACTGGAGCCCCCCGGATGGCGCCCAGGAGTTTTGTTCTGGAGGCCAGGGGGCCCCGAGACGGGCCAAGAGAAGAGCTTCAGGAGGGCCCTCAGAGGGTCCCAGAGGGCTCCGACACGGCCGCGCAGCGTTCCAGGATTGGTCAAGGTGGCTTCAAGACAGTACCAGGTGCCTCCAGGGTGCCTCAAGGCGATGTCAGATGGCCCGCAAGAGGGTCTCGAAGGGCACAACTCATCGATCCTTGGGCCAGGGGTGCTCAAGGACAGACAAAGAGGGCTCCAGCAGGCCCCCCTAACAGTCGTCCAAGAGGGCTCCGACACGGCCCCGGAGCTTTCGGATGGCCCAAGATAGCCTCAAGACTACCTCCGTAGCCACGTGCGCTAGAGGTCCAACGCCGTTGGAAATTTGCTCAGTAGCTGGGCGCACATGACGCGCTTCCTCGGGATGAGTACAGCTCACAGCGCAATGCTTTTGGCATGGGCGGTGTATTTGATACTTGCTTTGAGCCTGAGCTTTTACGATGCGTTGCCCTACGCGATTTTCACAGTCCTCTGTGTGTCGATCTACTTGCTGAAGTACTTTGAGGATTCCATCCCGGTCCCAGCTACGCCTGCGCTTGCCTGTCATGCCTGCCTCGCCGTGCTAGGGGCATTGGCGCTCGTCATCATCGCCTGGCAGATCGCAACGGCTCCTGGAGAGCTGCGCCTGTTCAAGGTGCAGTCGGTGATTGGATTCTGTGCACTCGTGGGTTTTTCATTTCTGACTTCTCACAAGAGGTCGAACATCCCTTGGAGGCTCGTCGCGGCTGGCCTGTTATGCCAGTTCTACCTAGGTGTGTTCGTGTTCAAGAGTCGTACAGGGTACAAGATCTTTGAGTCCATGGGAGATGCAGTGTCGACTTTCTTGAACTTTGCTGATGTGGGTGCAATGTTTGTGTTTCAAGACTCAGACAAGACCTTCGCGGCGAACCATATATTCGCATTCAGCGTGCTCCCCAAGACGGTTTTCTTTTCGGCGGTCTGCTCAATCATGTATTACTTGGGTGTTCTGCAGGCCACCGTGCGGGTAGTGGCGGCAGTCCTGAGGTTTGCGCTCGGTAGCAGCACTGTGGAGTCTGTGAACGCCGCGGGCAATATCTTCCTCGGGCAGACCGAGGCTCCTTTGCTGGTGAGGAACATTCTTCCCAGCGCAACCCCGTCGGAAATACACTGCATCATGACAGGGGGCTTTGCCACGGTGGCTGGAGGGGTACTCGCCGCGTACATCGCCATGGGCGTAAGCCCTAGCCAGCTCATCGGAGCATCGGTCATGTCGGCCCCTGCCGCGCTGACAATCTCGAAGATCGTCTGCCCGTCGGGTGTGACGGTGGAGAAGCCGTCTGACAACAAAGGTCTCATCACGGCCAGCGACTCAGACGTAGAGGACGACGCGTCGGACGCGACTGGGGACACCACCGCCACGGCCGAGGACACCGAGTTCGTCTTCCCAGCACCCTCCGAGAAAAACATAGTTGAAGCCGCCGCCAATGGGTCGAGCATTGCCATAGCGCTCGTCCTGAACATCGCGGCGATGCTAATCTCTTTCCTCTCGCTCATCGCGTTCTTGGACACGGTGCTGTTGAAGCTTGGGGCCATGGTGCGGATAACCTTGTCGTTCGAGGTGGTGTGTGGGTGGTTATTCTTTCCAGTGGCGTGGATCATCGGAACACCATATGAGGACTGTGGCACTGTCGCCAGTCTCATCGGCACCAAGATCTTCCTGAATGAATTTGTGGCCTACCAGAAACTGTCCACGATGATCGGGGTGCATCGGGCCATCAGTCCACGCGGTGAGCTCATCGCTACCTACTCGCTGTGTGGGTTTTCCAATGTCGCTTCTATCGGGGTCCAGGTTGGGGGCCTGGCTGCGCTGTGCCCAGAGAAGAAATACGTGTACGTCTCTTTGGTCGTGTCGGCGATGATCGCAGGCAACACGTGCTGCCTCATGACTGCCGCTGTGGCGGGAATTCTGTCATAAAGCATGCGGCGCGCTTCCTTGCCCTCAGAGGTGGCCTTGCTACCTGCGCGAAGGCTGGACAATCAGCAGCATCGGACCCTGATTCGTGCGTGCATGCGGATAATTCGTGTTTGTCTCGCACAGGACGGCCAACAGCGTCACAACCACTAGGTTTTTTCAACATTGGCTGGGGTTTTGGCGCACCCGCCGTGCCCCGTGTAAGGCCGCCCCCAGTGACGACGCGGACGTAGCGTTTCCAGATGTGGCCTTGCATGCCATGCGTCCTCGAAGAAAATGATTCAATACTGCCCAGGGGCCTCCAAGACGTCACGAGGCGCGCCAGGGTGCCCCCAAGAGGGCCCAAGGAGGCCACAGTCATTGTTTGTCCCAGCTATCGTGTGGTGTTCGGTCGTTGTATTAAGAGACAGCGCTCCGCGTCCCTCCTCCCCCCCCATCCTCCCCCCCTCCTCCCGTCCTTGGCTCTGCCTTTCGCATGTCGACCACTTAGGTGCACCCCTCACACGCTTCGTGGCCCCAGAGGGAGCTCCACCGAAGGCTCCTGTGGTAGCATTTGCATGCGTCCCCGCCGCACATTGCGGCACACCTCTCACGCGCTTCGTGGCCCCATGGGGAGCTCCACCGAAGGCTCTTGTGGCAGCGTTCGCATGTGTCCCGGCCTCACATTTCGCCACATCCCTCACAAGTTTCGTGGCCCCAGAGGGAGCTCCACCGTAGGCTCCCGCGTCAGCGTTCGCATGCGTCCCCGCCGCACCTCGCATTTCGTCACACCCCTCACACGTTTCGTGGTCCCATCGGGTGTTCCACCGCAGGCTTTTGTGGCAGCGTTCGCATGCGTCCCCGCTGCACATTTTGTCGGCTCACCCCTCACACGGTTCGTGGCTCAACGAGGCGCCCCACCGACAACCCTTGCGGTAGCGTTTGCATGCGCCCCCCAGCCCATGTCGGCACACCCCTCACACGGGTCGGGGCCCCATCGGGAGCTCCACCGAAGGCTCTTGTGGTAGCGTACGCATGCGTCTTCGCCTGGCTCCAACGCATGCCCCCGCGGCAGCGTTTGCATGCATCCTCGCCGCGCGTTCCGGCACACCCCTCACACGCTTTCCCAGAGGGAGCTCCACCGAAGTCTCCTGCGGCAGCGTTCGCATGCGTCCCCACCTCACATGTCGGCGCACCTTCGTGGCCCCAGAGGGAGCTCCACCGTAGGCTCCCGCGGCAGCGTTCGCATGCGTCCCCGCCGCACATTGCGGTTGACCCCTCACACGTTTCGTGGCCCCATCGGGTGTTTCATCGCAGGCTCTTGTGGCAGCGTTCGCATGCGTCGCCGCTGCACATTTTGTCGGCGCACCCCTCACACGGTTCGTGGTTCAACGATGCGCCCCGCCGACAGCCCCCGCGGTAGCGTTTGCATGCGCCCCCCAGCCCATGTCGGCACCCCCCTCACACGGTTCGGGGCCCCATCGGGAGTTCCACCGAAGGCTCTTGTGGTAGCATATGCATACGCTCTCGCCGCATTATTCGGCACACCCCTCACACAGAGGAGTGGAAAGATACATAGATGGAGGAAGGTGAGGATGAGGACGCGGCGTCAAGCGGGCTCTGGTAGGGGTCCAGGGATTCATTTGGAGGGGATATCGTCTTCACGCCCCGTCGGTTTTCGGGGGTCCTGTCCGGCGCAGGGAGAACGTCCACAGCCCCAGGGCCGATTTTCCTAACGAATAGGATGCATTTCGTCCGCGTCCTCCTCCTTCTCTTCTGCCGACATTATTAGCCTACTCTTCCTTGTCCTCCTCCCCTCTCCACGTGAGGAGGGAGAGAAGGAGGAGGAGAATGCGTGTGACCCCGTCTTTTCTATGCAGTGGTGTGTGTGTGTGTGTGTGTGGTTCGATCTTGCTGATGAGGTCCGTCCCGGACCTGCGGGGGTAGTCCTGTGTCGGTTTGGGAGTCCTTGTTGTGGCTTCTGGCGGCGGAGATTTTCGCACGCCTAGAGGCCGACAAGGGGTCGGTCGATATAAATGGTCATTGTGTTTATGCGAGCAGGACTAGTGAGCTAATAGTAGTAGTAGTATTATTATTATTATTAGTAGTAGTAGTAGTAATAATACTAGTAGTCGTAGTAGTAGTACTAGTACTAGTCGTACCCGTAGTAGTGGTAATAGTACGAGTGGTAGTAGTAGTAGTAGTAGTAGTAGTAGTAGTAGTAGTAGTAGTACTAATAGTAGCAGTAGTAGTAGTAGTAGTAGTAGTAGTAGTAGTAGTAGTAGTATTATTAGTAGTAGTAGTAGTAGTAGTAGTACTAGTAGTAGTAGTAGTAGTAGTAGTAGTAGTAGTAGTAGTAGTAGTAGTAGTAGTAGTAGTAGTAGTAGTAGTAGTAGTAGTAGTAGTAGTAGTAGTAGTATTATAGTAGTAGTAGTAGTAGTAGTAGTAGTAGTAGTACTAGTCAGTAGTAGTAGTAGTAGTAATTAGTAGTCGTCGTTAGTAGCGTAGTAGTAGTAGTAGGTAGTCGTAGAGTAGTAGTATAGTAGTAGTTAGTGTATCAACAGTAGTAGTAGTAGTAGTAAAGTAGTAGTCAATAGTATAGTAGTAGTAAGTAGTATTAGTAGTATAGTCCCGTAGTAGTAGTAGTAGCAGTACAGTAGTAGTAGTAGTAGTAGTCGTAGTAGTAGTAGTCGTAGTAGTAGTAGTAGTGTAGTAGTAGTAGTCAGTAGTAGTAGTAGTAGTAGTAGTAGTAGTAGTAGTAGTAGTAGTAGTAGTAGTGTAGTAGTGTCGTAAGTAGTAGTAGTAGTAGTAGTAGTAGTAGTAGTAGTAGTAGTAGTAGTAGTATAGTAGTCGTAGTAGTCGTAGTAGTAGTAGTCGTAGTAGTAGTAGTAGTAGTAGTAGTTAGTGTAGTAGTAGTTGTAGTAGTAGTATAGTAGTAGTAGTAGTAGTAGTAGTATAGTATAGTAGTAGAGTAGTAGTGTAAGAGTAGTAGTAGTAATAGTAGTGGTGGTGGTGGTGGTGGTGGTGGTGGTGGTGGTGGTAGTAGTAGTAGTAGTAGTAGTAGTAGTCGTAGAAGTGTAGTAGTAGTAGGAGGAGGAAGAGGAGGAGGGGGATACTGAGGTGACGCTCTGGGTTCTGGGTTACATATAAGAGGCTTCTTGTTTGTGTATCGGGGTATCGCGGCACGGCTCTCGGGGGCCTCTGGAAGGCAATGTTGAAGCCACCTGGGGGCCGAGGTGGAGGGGGGGGGGCGAGGGGGGCACAGAGAGAAGGCTCAGAGTCCTGGGTTATGGGTTAGAGGCATCTTGTAGGTGTATCGGGATCTCGCGGCACGGCTCTCGGGGGCCTCTGGAATGTAGTTTTGAAACCGCTTGGGGGCCGTTTCGGAGCCTCTGGGGGGGTTCTTGGGTTTTTTTGGGGGGCGTCTGGGGAGAGTCTTGGGGGCCTCTGGCGGCCTCTGGGGGCGCACTTGGGGCCGCCTGGGGATCCTTGGGGCGGAAAGTTAGCTTTTTTTAAATGTTTGGTCGCCCTCTTGGGCTTCTCTGGGTGCAGTTTTGGAGCCCTCTTGGGCCGTCTTGGGCGCCTCTGGGGCCGTCGTGGGGCCGTCTTGGGGCCGTCTTGGGGGTCTCTTGTGCCGTCTTGTGGCTGTCTTCGGGGCTTCCGGGGCCGTGTTGGAGCGTCGGGAAGCCGGAGAGACAACAAGGCAAAACAACACAGAAAAACACAATGGAAAATCAATATTTTTAGCCCGGCCCCCTCGGCGCCCGGCAGTGCGACCTTCGAGGGCGGCGCGTCGACTCCGGAGCACGCGGCCCCGGGCGCGGCGAGCGCGACCGGCGCAGCTGCGCTGGCGGCGCGCCGCTCGCCGTCGGGCCCATCCGCCGCGCTGCCCGCGGCCCGCGCTGGGCTGGCGAGCCGCGGCCTCTTGGGCGGATGGCGCGCGGGCGGAGCCGCTGCGGCCCTGCCGAGCTCGACGCTGGCCCTTTGCAAGTCCGCGAGCCTTGCCCGCCGGCGCGGCGCCGCAGCTGGCGTGGGCGCGTCGGCCGGCAGGGCGGCGTGGTCGGCGTGGTCGGCGCCATCCTCTGGCTTGCTTTCGGCGTCCTCCTCGCAGCCGTCGACTGCTGTTTGGGCGGGGTCGCGCGGCGTGCTCGTCGGGCGACTGCATGTCGTTCATTCGCCGACGGCCCTTCGGAACCTGTCGCAGCACTGCCACGGCCCTCTCGGGGTCGACCGGCCGCGGCTGAGGCGGTGCCCCTGCAGGCCGCTTGCGGGCGTGGCGCGCCAGCGGGCAATGCGCCCGCTGGTGGAGCTTGCAAGCCGGCTCCGAGAATAACATCTCGCCGCAGTGTGAGCAGCCGTGCTGCGGGGCGTCGCCGCGCTCCTCCGCGGCGCGGGCTTCCAGGGCGATCTCGCGGTTCAGCACGAAAGCCGGCGGCGGCGTCTCCTCCATCCTCGCTTCCAGCGTTTCCACCGACTCGCTGGGCGCGAAGCAGTCTCGCCAGTTCTGGTCCGGCTGATCTGGGCCGCTGGCCACGTGCGCCTGCTGGATCGGCAGCTGCAGGAGGGCGTAGTCCACGCCCGTCGCCGCGACGAACGCCTTCGAGTCGAGGTGCATCAGGTACAGGTCGTCCAGCGTCTGCGCGCGCGACAGGGCGACGTTCGCCATGGCCGGCCTGGCGGCGGAAGGATTCAGGTACGCGACCACGCCATCAGTCATGGTCGACCCCTGTGCCTTGTGGATAGTCATCGCCCAGCAGAGAACCAAAGGGAACTGCGAGCGCTCGATGGCGTCGCCGTCTGGGGTGTTGAACGAGCCCTTCGTCCGCACGATGGCGACGCTCGGCTCCTCGGCATTGTCCGCCGCGCGCGCGGCGCGGCCGACGCCGCACGGGAACTCGACGCGCACCTTTGCCAGGTCGTCAGTGTCCCCGACGGTGAAGATGTCCGTGACGACACCGCGCGCGCCGTTCACCAGCCCGTCCGAGACGTCGAGGTTGCGTCGCAACATCACCCTCGCGTGCAGTGCGAAGCGTGCCTCCGTCTCCAGGCCGCCCGTGTCTGCGGCGTCGACGAAGCCGTCGTCGAGCTCCATGGGCATGCCGGTCTCCTTCGAAGTGTCGGACGCTGGCGCGGTGTAGATCGGCGCGCCATGCTGCTCGGCGTGCGCTCGCAGCTGCTCATCACTCACCCGCGCCACGTCCTTCCGCGTGGCCAGCAGGTGCGGCGCGTCGCACCCGGCAGGCGGTCGCCGCACGCGCGTCTGCAGCGTGGCCATGTCGTCCTCAGTCTGTTGACCCTTGCGCACCCGCTCGAGCAGAGCGACGTAGGCTTGGGTCCTTGGCTGCCCTGTGGTTGCCTTGCAGCTCGCAGAGCGTGAGCAGCCTCCAGAGCTCTTCCGCCGCGAAGATCGGGC